CAATATTAACTTTATCTGGGGCCGTATTCTGGTCACTTATCTCTCGTCTCTTCTTTCAATGACAAATGACGTCGAAATTCGTATCTCAGAAACAGAAACAGTGGTGATTCTGGTCACTTGTAACGATCTCTTCTTCGTTGATGACGTCACGATACTCTAGGTAGATTATACATGTTCAGGTGATCTGCGCGCGCAACACGGTATAGAATTTTAACCAATGACATTGTAAAATTTTCGAAAATTCAGGTACATAATCATAGATCACGTGGCAAGGAAAGCACGTGTTCAAATAAAGCTCGTAATTTCGATGAATGTGTTTTTTGTTTTATAACGTTTTTAATTATAATGTCAATTTGTCTCTTAACAAATAAAAATTTTAATAACCTAAGTTAGAAAAGCGTGAGTTCTTAGATATTTTTCGAAATATTACCATCTAACTTCTCCTTAACTATCTAAGTACAATTAATGGTAGACTAAACATTATATTCGATAATTTAGTAATTGATGTAGGATAATTAAAAAAAAAAAGGAATCAGTGGCGTTTCTTAGTAGACACTGGAAAAAAATCAGAAGTATTTTCTCTCTCGAAATATTCTTTCCCGAGATAGAGAACGTTCTCTAATACGATTGTACAACGCGAGTAGCACCCAGTCGTCCATATTGGATATAACGAAATCGAGCCTCGATTATCGAGGCGAAAGACGAACAGACGGTCGAAAGACAACTATCCGCTCTGATAAACGAGAGAAAAAGTTGTCTAGAATCGCGTTTGGACAGACGCGATGATCTCTCTAGATGTAAACAAATGATTAGCCAATCAATTGTGAGAGACGATGACCAGAGTACGGCCCCTGAAATAAAATTACAAATGTATTTTGTAGTAGGCAATAAAAGCATACACATATAAATGGAGAATTTTCAGATTTCTTTCGAAAAATTGATTCTGGATTTCTCAATCGTTTTACGTATACGTGAAACAACGATAGTACTGTACTTCCACATATCAAAGTTGGTTTGGTTTGACGATGTGAAACAATGCTGGGCATGGGCAATCGGCCAAGAGGAAGTGCTCTCCTGGGAGGATTTTCTATGAGAATCTGGTCCCTTATTTAGGTGTTAAAACCAGGGCTGTAGAGTCGGAGTGGGAGTCGTCAAAAAATCCGCCGACTCCGACTCCTTTTTACTTCTTAACTTGTAATGTATATAAAACGGAAAAGTATTGGAATCGTGTCAAATTTGACCCTCCAAATTTATTTTGCAAATCTACACGTTTGGAGACCTCCCGAACCCCTCAAAAAAAGGTCAATAAAAGAGGAAAAATTCGCGCGAGTGTGTGTTGGCGTCTAATTTGTTTAATTTCTTTATTTTCTGTTCTAAGATATTAAACAATATCTCAGAATGGGTAAAGTTTAAGAAACGAAATGTGGCACTGTAGCTTGCGTATAAAGGGGCATTAATACTATTAAATTTTGGTTCTTAATTAAAGGTCGACAGGGTGAAGACATAAAAGTGGTCATGTGTCATATCTCTTAATGAATATTTTACTCGTTATTAGCGTTCAAAATTAAAAAGATAATAATCTATACATATAAAAATGAATGTATGTCTGTGTGTCTGTCCTTCATGCATTACCACACCGTTTATCCGATTGCCATGAAGCTTTGGGAAGTTTTTTAATACACTCCCGCAAAGGTTTCTGGCATAGTACATTTATCCTACGATAGATGGCGCGCGTGTATACGTTCATTTCACAGTGTGTTCGATCGATTTCAAATTGTGAAGACCATTTCCCCCTCCAAAAAATATCTCTATATATGCATTTGTTATTTACGATATTTGTAATAATTTTTGTTTAATCACTTTATTTCAACTTTTTTTTGCTAATTATGTATTCGCTCGAACTTCGTTAAAACCTTAACTGTACCCCGAACAACAACCGAAGTTGTAGGAAGAAATTCGCGTATTTTACCGATCTAGGTATCCCCCTTTTCCAAATTTTAATATCGACTCAAAATAATTTAAAAAGACAAATTACAATAAAACGGTTTATTATCCAACTATCAGAAATTTCACAACATGCCAAGGAAGAGAGGAAGGAGCAATTAAATAATTAAAATTATAAAGGATTAAAAAATATATATATAAAAATGGGGAATATCGCACTTCTGACAATCGCTGCGAGTGTGTGGGCTAAATTTGGAGAATCCGTGCTTCTCACATGGACAACTGTATGTGGCCAGCTCACGCGTCGGAAAACCTGATTTATTCGTGTAAACATCAGACGAAAAAACAAAAAATATCGTGTATCCACAAGCACTCCAATAAATAAATAGAATTGAAACGACACTTTGAAATGTTTTCCCGATGAAAATGAATAATAATATAATAATAATAAGTTTCAATAAAAATGACAAAATGTAAATTTAATCTTATCATAACGAGTTTGCTTGAATTTCGTTTCTTCTGAGATCGCAGCAATGCGCGACCGGTAAGCTAGTAATAAAACAAAACTCGTCTCTACCCTCAAAGAAAGCTTTTTGTCATATTATAATAGTACAGTAAAACCCTTAAGATGTTAGAATTTATATGGGAACACGATTTAGTTCAACCACTTTGACGCTTAATAACTAACTTCTGTGTTAAACTATCTGACTGATTCTGACCACAGAAATTATTAGTCTTCAAACAGGGTGAACGAAATCATGCCCCCCGCACACAGTCTAACATCCACACATATAGAGAAAAACCTTGAATCTTGTATATCTTGAAATTTCAAGGTGTCCTGAGTCCAAAAATGTAAAAATTTGGGAGGGGTCATTTTTTGACGGAGCGTTACACTTTCCCTCTGTTATATATAACAGCCGGAAAAGTAAAAATTATCGAATACATATTTATACTGTATATTACTTAGAGGAGTCTTATAGCTTTGGAATAAAAAGTTTCTACGTTCTATCTTTATTAGAACTCTATTTATTGAATCTTTTATTCTGAGGTCACGTGATGACATCAGAATTTCCAGGTCTCTTTCAGTAACAAGTTCGCCCCTGGTCGGAGTAGGTAGATTTTTACGCAACTCCACAGCCCTGGTTAAAACACATGAAGAAAATGCCAGCCTATTGGTCAGGCAAACCTGCAACCAATGACCAGTTTCATCTACTTGCTCACTGGTGGACCATATCAAAGTTGGCAAACATAGTGGGGACTTTCCTCCATAATTTCAACAATATCCAAAAAATTTTACATTTTCACAACAGATAAATTTCCAGTTTATAATATTTTATGTAAATAAATCTTGGAAACTTTTCATTTAAGCAATTTCTATTTTGTAGAGAGTACAGTATAATTTAGACAGATTTTATTCTATCATACTATCTTTCCATGTATTTTGCTTTGAAGTTTTATAATCCAATCCCAAAACTCGACTTTTATATAGAAAATGCATTTATTCTAAAACAAAAAGTGCATTTCATGTATGAAGTTTAAATTTTTGGTATTGGATCCTTTCCCCCCTAAAAAATTTTAGTCAGTATTATAAAATGTATAATAGATGCTTTTTTAACAACTGATTCAATAATGATAAATTGTTTAATGTCCTATATATGAATCTAATATTCCAGCTTGTTTTGACACATTGGAAAAACTAGATATAGTGTGAGCAGCAGAAGAAATCAGCAATGTTCATTTGTGTTTACTTGGATTTTGCCATTTATAAATATAGTTTTGGATATTCTTTTGCCCCTAGAACAACTAGAATAAAGATTCTTAATCTAAGACCCATAGACAGATTTTAGAGGGCTATGAAGTGTTAGCTGCTTTAAAAATAATTAATTAAATAAAAGTTAAAATTTTAAATTTAAATAACTTTTGTTTAGTGTTAATTATTATTGGAAACAGAGAAGGAAAAGTCTATTGTTGATAGCCTGATGGCCAAGGTGACAAAGATGTCAGCTATTCTGAGGGACTTAAAGTTTGGATTAAAATGTCAGAATTTTCACAGATGGTTTGATCAGGCCTCATCGTCCAACTGCTTCATTGGAGATCCAAACCAACCCATAATGGCCATGCAGAAAAGGATCTCTTAATGACTGTAGGATCATGTTTAAAAAAAAGGTTTTTTGCCTGTCAAGGATTTCTATGAATAATTCAGCTAAAGCATGTAAGTACTGTAATTGTGCTGTTAAAAATTAAACTGTTTAACAAGATTTTCCTGAAACGATTAAAATCATGAACTGAAAATAATTTACATAATAATATTTAATATAAGTCCTAGTAGTTAATTTTCATGTAAAATATACATATTTGTCAGGCTTTAATATGATTTTATATTTTGTTACAGTTTTAATAATTTATCAATGTAAATATTTGCAAGTAAGATTTACTACATTTATTTTATATATATATAAATATACTTTTTTACATATAAAAAATATACAACACAAAAACTACACCATGCATAAATGGAATAAAATCAAATGCATCAATTCAATTTCTCTAGTTACATTTCAATTTTAATATTTACAAATTATATTGTTATCAGATAAATCATCTTTGAAGAACAATTAAACATATTTCTTCTACCTTTAAATATATGCTTTTATGATATATCAAAATTTAAATTATTTCAAAACTCCATGCATAATAATTTACTTCACTTTAGTACTGAATTTGTGCTACATAATATAAAATGCATATAATGCCTTTAACTTGATGAATTTTTGTGAATCTTCTGAGATTGAATTAATTGTCTGCTGATAAACCATGTCATAAATTATTTAGTTTTTTGTGATGTAAACTGTTCTGATTGTTGATTGGGATTTTATGCAAAAGTCATAAAAACTATACTACACCATTACCCTGTAACAAGAGTACTCAAATCTCTGAATGTTCTATTATTTTAAATTTAATTCTTATGTGCATTGCATATGAATGCTTATTATTTTACTTATTTAGATGAATATATATTATTCTATATATCTTTCCTAATATAATATTTTGGTCATTAAAAGATATGATTAAACATTTGTAATATAGTTTTATAAATATTTATATTTACAGATTTCTCTTATCTTCGTTACAATGTTAAAAACAAAAGGTTCATTGAACCTATATTTTATTTCAACTGATTGTTGAATAAATCAAAACTGAAGTAATCATTTATTGTCATTTTGAATATTTCCATTCTTGTAACTATTATTATTAGTGGAAATTTCATTTATGTCATTTTTTTTAATGCAACTTCAATACATTATCTGGAATTCAACATTCTTTGCACTTATGTTTAAAATTAATCTTGTAAATATCTTAATCTTGTATATCTTGTTCATATATCTTCAATGAAATTTAGAATAAAACTATATATAAATAAATTTTCTTTTATTTATTTATATACATGAAGTGAAAAACAGAAATTCAATGTGTGGAAACTAAATTTAAAAGCTGTTTATTGATTTGATATTGTCACAATTTTAATACCTGCCTGTGCTGCAGTAAATTGAAATTTTGATAATTTTAATTCATGATTTTTTTGCTTCAGCATTAAAAGATCTCGTTGAATGTCTCTCAATTCCTATAAAAATAATTTATGTATTAATAGATACATTTAAATAAATCAATATTTTAATTTTTAATTTAGAATAGTGGTTAAATATGTATAATTGTTTATAACCTCTAAAACAGTTAACATTTGTCCTTGTTGTTTTAACAATAATTCTTGCTGTTGCATTAGTATCTCTATTTCTCCTGAAGACATAGTTATTGGATAAGAACAGGGAAAGGAATCAATTTTTTCTTGATAATCTGATTTCTCATTAGATTCAATAGATTCAATTTCTAGAAAAAAAAAAAAAAAGACACTTTTAATTGTAAATTCTGATTATTATTCAGGGTGTTTAATAGACCTAGAAATCTCAAAAACCTGGAAATATCAGGGAATTTATTAAACCTGGAAAAGGAAAAAATATTACTGCTGAGTGTATAATGCATTCAATTTCTAGAAAAAAAAAAAAAAAAAGACACTTTTAATTGTAAATTCTGATTATTATTCAGGGTGTTTAATAGACCTAGAAATCTCAAAAACCTGGAAATATCAGGGAATTTATTAAACCTGGAAAAGGAAAAAATATTACTGCTGAGTGTATAATGCATCATATAACAGAGAAGGAAACAACAGAAGTGATTTGAATTGTTGTGTCACATGATATGCATTAATGATCTAAACTTACATCATGCTGATTAAATTTAAGTATAAAAATTACTAATATTCACTCCAATGTTTCAAGAAAGTATAAAATTTGAGAATTATGACGTTTTTAATTGTTTTATAGAAAAATGTAGTATTTTCATCATAAAGAGTTTATTTTTAAGTGTTGGCTTGTGGGATTCACTGAAAAGTTGGCAACCCTAGCTAGCAGTCAGTTTTCTTTGAAAATGAGGTTGTAGAGGAGGTCTGTTCATAATACTGTTTCAAAGCTCTTACTGAGTAAATGGTATGAATTAAATTTGAAAGACAGTATTTTCAATCATTTTTACTAACAAGTTTAAATTTTTTCTAATGTAAAGAAGAAAAGTGTGCTACATGCATTGTGGAAAAATAATGAAAGGGAAATTGCATTTTTTGGATGTGGAAAATATCTTTTAAAACTGATAAAAATTTAAAGTAAAATTAAGAAAACTTAAATCCAATTTTTTTTCCTAGAATTTTTTTTCCTTATTTTTCTTTTGACCCTTGAAAAAGGCCAATGGCCATAGGGTCGTATGATTAAATAAATAAAATAAATAAATAGAAGATAATTGGCAAATTTGGCCTCTAAATTTTACTAATAATCTGCTGTTATTGTTGATCAGGAAATATTTATTTTGCCATTTAATTTATATAGTAGTCCAAAATATTCACAGAATATCATAGAATTAAGTCTAATGCAAAATTTTCAAATTTTTGCAGTTTCTTCTACACACTTGTAGGCCTATTTTCTAATTTATTTTCAGATGGACAGTCATTTTAACCACCCTGTACTAATGTACAGTACAGGGTGGTTAAAATTAAAGCACTACTCAGATCTATATAAAGTCTGTTCTCTTTGATGTATTTTGATGAAACATGGTATATATGTTATATGGACCATGGGGAAAAGGAAAATGCAAATAAAATAATTCGTTCAAATTTCTACCACTAGGTGAAAAAATGGCGCATGAAGAACAAGAAACACAAAATGGAAACATGCAAAAGATTTTTATTTATGACTTTTGTTTAATGTGCAATCCATTTGTGTCAATCACATGTTCAAAGCGCCCAATAGGGTGTTCAACAATAGCCCAATAGGTTTCTTGAAAAATTGCATGTTATGCTTGCTTTCAATTCAGGCAGAGTTCATATGCCTCCTCTATAGACACGACCTTTAAGATATCCCCACAACCATATGAACTCTGCCTGAATTGAAAGCAAGCATAACACGCAATTTCTCAAGAAACCTATTGGGCTATTGTTGAACACCCTGTAAGGCGCTTTGAGCATGTGATTGACACAAATGAATTGCATATTGAACAAATGTCATAAATAAAAACCTTTTGCATGTTTCCATTTTGTGTTTCTTGTTCTTCATACGCCATTTTTTCACCTAGTGGTAGAAATTTGAACGAATTATTTTTTTTTGCATTTTCCTTTTCCCCATAGTCCATATAACATATATACTAAGTTTCATCAAAATACATCAAAGAGAACAGGCTTTATACAGGTCTGAGTAGGGCAACTTTAATTATAACCACCCTGTACTATAAAATCATGGAATAATGACATGAGAGAATGGCCACTAGGGTGGTCCATAAAAATTTTTTTTTTTGTTTTTCAGTTTAGCCACCCCGTAAATTTGTAACATGTATCCATAGCAATAACATTGTATAATTTCAGTTGGCTAGCTTTAGTGGAAGAGGGTGCTCAATCGAGTGCTGTTTTGAAATTTTTGTGAAAAATGCTTGATCTTGATTTTTTGTTACAGGTCAGTTTTGTGTGTTAAATTAATCTAATCTACTTTTAAATACAACTGTTAAAGAGTTTTATAGATGAATGTAAAAAACTTTGGTACTTATTTATTAGACTGTGAGTGAATCAATGCATTAAAATGAGTTTGTCAACTCGAAAAAAGACAACATTTTTCAACTTGGATGTCAAGATCTTGAGCCATTGGTAAGGATTAACCAACTTCCAACTCTTCGGCAAGTTCTACTTTGTTATCACCACACATTAAATGAATCAAAAAATGTGAAAGATTCTGTGCATATGCTCATTCAATAAGTCATAGAGGTGTGGAGCAAATCTGGTATTCCGACCAGACAACCAAATCACTGCATTGAAAAACTTTAAAAATTCATAAGAAATGAATTTTTAAAGTTTTTCTTTAAAAGCAGCCATAAGAAATGGCTGCTTTTAAAGAAAAATAAAACAAGAGATTCAGAAGCACAGAAAAATAGAGAGCATTTGTTTACAGAAGAGGTAGACAAACTTTTTGATATTGCCCATTTACAGGCCATGAACTCAATCAAAATTGCAGAAGACAGAGTTTCTCATTGATCAAAGAGATGAGCGTAAGACATCAATTGACAAGACACTGGAAAAGATCAAAGAACGTTCTGTAAAACAAAAACAAAGAGCTGAAGAATTAAGAGAAAAGGCCGCTAAAAGTAATGCTTCAATTTCGGTAGTGTCAAGTCAAGAACTAGAATTTGATTTCAGCTTCAGTAGCACTTCTAGTGTAGATAGCACTTTAGAAGACAAGCAAGATGATTATTTTGTGGTTGCTTTACCATCAAGGACTCTTTCTTGCAATTATCTCCCAAGACTTGGGGTGACAATGTTGATTGCCTTCAAGGCAAAAGTTGCACAAAGAAATTTGCATGTGGTTAATGACACTGCAGAGAGGGGTGTAAAACTATTTGAAGATTACAATACGATACTCACTAAGAATGAGGAAGAAAGACAATTTTTACTTTATGTCATTGAACAGAACAGAAAGATCATTTCTACTGAAACATCCAAGAAAGTGCTAATGAACTTAGTTTTAGGTTGAGAAAAAAGAACTTTAATTAATATTATTTGAAGTATTGCTTTGTTTATAACATTTTGTGTGTGTTTAAATTCTATATTTGAATAAAAAAAACTTACTTTTGATACATAGTTTACATTTTTTACTTAATATCCTGATTAGTTCTTTTTAAGGATTTTTTTCATAAAATTCAGATATTTCAAAGTCAATGAGCACTCCCTTGTATATAAGATAATAGGCTGAAATTTTGAACACATAATAGGAATGGTAAGTGTAACAAAACAAGGGGGTGGCATGACTTCCACTTGAAAATTTTTTTTTTTTTGCTATTTAAACATGGACCACCCTAATGGCCACCTTTGGAATATCCAGCTATATTTGAAGCTATATTATTAAAAGTAAAGTCTATGATTACCAAGTAATTTAATTTAATTTGATTTTGTGTTATTTTATGTATGCACTTTTAATTTTCATTTTTTAGTTATTACATACATGTATAGTCTTTATTTTATATAAATATACATATTTCAAAACAATTATTTTGCTTATTTATTACAACATTGTGATTTTTTTTTCAAAAATTAAACTATATGCTTTCAATGGTTTTTAAATTTTTATTGTGCCCTTAGTAACAAAAAAGTTGCAGATCCCTGTTGTAAGAAATTATAGCTTTTTGTATGTTTTATTTAATCACAAATTCTTTTTTTGTTTGAGTTTTTAAATATAATTTTTCTTCCTAAAAAATTTTTTGACAAATTTTGGACATACCCATTAATAATTTATAGGCCTATTCAACATTTCTAAGTTGGCACACTACTGTAATCAAATACCTCATACGTTTCCTGAGATGTTCAAGATTTCTATGTTTAGACCTAATGAATGGTTGTATAGCATGCAAGCAATAAAAAAGCTTTTTTTTGTATTATTTGGTAATTTATAAAAAAAAAAGTATGTGCATTGCAATTTGAGCAACTGATTTCATTACAAGACAACCAGAAGTATAGAGTTGCTTGCTCACTGGACAACAAGCAGATTTTCTTAATTTCTAACCCTACTTGAAAAAGTTCATCCATTTCAAAGAATTTAATTAATAGTTTAAAAGTCAAACTCACTATCAGTATCATCAATCTCAATAGCATCTGAATTCGGAATAGATTCTTGCTCAGCAGGTTCACTTTCTTTTCTATACTGCAAAAATGTGAAAGTAATTATTGTAATATTTAAATTTGAAAATTGAAGATATATAAAATTAAAAGAAAGAAAATCCTGAACAGTTTAGTTTAACTGTTTGAATTCGAGAATAAAATTTTTAACAACACAAATTCTTTTAAAATTCTATTTTCCTTCATTTAATCTGATTAGTAAAATAAAAAGTTAATTTAATATATTGGTCATAACACTTCTTTTGAATTTTGACAATATACAGGGTGGGCCAACAAAAATGAAACGGCAGAGTTATCGTGTTTGTCCAAGCAAATCGTTCGGACAGGTCGATTTTATTCTCAAGGGGGACATCTTCAGCAATAAAGTTTTTGCGATTCTGAATACAACAGACAACAAAAAATTTTAAAAACTCATTCATTTTTTTATTAACTAAACAAACATTTATTTCAAATAAAGTAACAAACATAAGAAAAAGTTATCAAGTATTCAATAAATGTTCGAATTGAGCACCACATCTCTGTCGATTCATTTCTTACTGGACGTTCACATCCAGGGTCGTGCCTTTTGTTAGCCACAGAACCCATTAATTGAAACTTTTGAACCAACTCCAGAACATATTTTGCATTACAATATTTGTTTGGATATCGTTGATTAAATAAATTTGCAGTAAGATAAGCATTCTCGCAATTTCTGAAATGAAGAGTTACTATTTCTATCCTTTCAGCAATTGTGTAAACCATAACGATTATGTTGTACAAAATTCATAATAAACAAATAATAATCTTAAATTCTGATTGAATCATTAAATGGTCAAGCTTAATGTAAACACTACAAAAAAGAACATCTGGAAACAGATAACACATTCTCAGCCTTAATTTTATGATCTATTTTTTCCTTGCATATGCAGTCCAGCTTAAAAGGGTTTTTTTTATGTTTGTTAATAGTTTGTGTTACTTTTTTTCTGAAATAAATGTTTGTTTAGTTAATAAAAAAATGAATGAGTTTTTAAAATTTTTTGTTGTCTGTTGTATTCAGAATCGCAAAAACTTTATTGCAGAAGATGTCCCCCTTGAGAATAAAATCGACCTGTCCGAGTGATTTGCTTGGATGAACACGATAACTCTGTCCTTTCGTTTTCGTTGGCCCATCCTGTATTATAAAATATATAAAAAATTCCTATAATATGATGTCATTATAATTAATATTAATGTTTGTATTTTTTAAATGAAAGTACTAGACAAAACAGAAATAAAAGTAGAATGATCATAATTAAATTTTTTCGACTTTGTAAGCATTAAAAGAATTTCTTTTGTGCTCATTGTGGGCTAGGCTAGACCCAAAATTGGAATATCAATCCAGGTCCTATCCTTCATTTATCATGAATAATTGGTCTAGATGTATTTACCTAATTTATCGAATCCAACTCATCTGTAGCCTTAATATGTGAATATGTGGGGTCATAAATGATCCAACACATTCACTTATTTAGGTCAAGTCATTTGTAAAGATTTCTGAGTACAGTATAATGGTCCACTAAAACCAGATGTTTAACCCCTTTAGTTCCTCGCCCAAGTTAACTTGGGCAGGTTACATAGCATTACAGAAAACTTGGTCCTTTCACCCCTAAAATATCTTTTTTAGGTCTCCAAATATTTTCAAAAATTTTTACCCGCGCATAAAAATTTTATTGCGATTTTAATCTACCTTTAATGATGCATGATTAACAATTAATTGTTTTTTAATGGGAGTTTGATATCAAATTTCATTCATCGTTCTAAAGTTCTAGTGCATGGATTTTCCATCGGTAAAGTTATTTAAAGCTACTTTCTGATATCAAAAACGACCTCCAATAGTTTTTTAATTTTTTTAATTAATATATTTTATTATACATACATTTAATTAAGTCGGGGGATCGGACATCACAATAAAAATTTGAATTTTTTAAAAATATAAGGCCAGCTAGTATTCACCCTACTATAAACCCTTCGCCTCCCGAGACTTCTATGAGAATGTTCCGGGCAATCCAACACCAGCTGTTCTCAAGGTCATCCAGCTGTAAACACAATGACTCCTCGGTGTCAGATTTCACGGAAAGGCGAGACAATGGAAAATAAAGTTTGAAGCTTTTTCTTCAAAATTAACACATTTCTTTCGTTTTTTTCAGTTTTAAGTATTTTTTATGTTTAATTACATTAATATTAAAAATTGGTGGGAACTAAAGCGATTAAAATTGCTCTACAATTGGAGGTTGAACCTGTCTTTCTTTACTAGAAGAAAATCTATTCTAATCAAAATGGAACATTTATTACAATACTACTTCTTATTGTTTACTTTGATAAGTGCATAAAGTAACCAAATAGGATTATTTCTTGGGAGTTTTGAAGTAAATTTATAGTTTGATTTAAGGAATTCTGGTAAAATTTTTGTTTGCTTTATCATGTGAAAATTAACATTATGACAATGGCATTTTGCCAGGGCAATGGTAAAATTTATTTTAAGATGAGTTGACTGTATATATAAAAATATTTTATTTAATTGAATGTATTGCTTTAACATGTCCTGTAATCTGCATACATACTAAAGCTTAATAGTAAATTTTTAGAGTCAATAGTTTATGTGACAGATTAAAAATGATCTAAATAAATAAGAACATTTGATATTGCAATCTAATAATATAAGCCATTGATCGCATGTCAGTATATCTGTAATGGTATGCCTAAAACGCCCACTAGAGGTGCCCTAGCAATGATTTTAAATTAACAATAAATTATTATTATTTGTAACAGGAATTTATTATTTATACTACAGAATGACACCGCTGCTGCTAGAACGCCTTTCCCGTGGGGAGGGGTAATCCTTAACCCCCTTCCCCATGGGGAGGGGAAACATTCCCCATTGGTATGAATTTATTATTTATACCACGGAATGACTAGAATGTCCACTAGGGGCAGCCTGAGCTACTAATATAGAATAAATTACATTTAATTAAATAAAGTATAACCTCTGAATAATGGACACTGCCAGGACCAAGAAGTTTGCCCACTATTAAGAAGTATGTACCAGTTCATTCTGGCGGCTATACTGTATTTTAATTAATGAGGTCATCATATAGTGAAGAATATGATGGGTTACTAAAACATCAAATTTGCATTAACAAACAGCAGTGTACAATGCAAAAATTCATTTTCATGATGCACTGTAATGAATTTGCAATGTACAATTTGAAATGAATTTTTACATTATACTGTACACTGCTCTTTCAACCAAAAATATATGTAAAATTGCTTCTAAATAACAAAGTTAAATTTCTATATAACAATTTTTTTTTAATTTGTAAGTACTATTCGATTGATCACTCAAAATTAATTACTCCATCTAGGTTGAGTATTTAGGTTCAATTTCAGGTATCAATCTGTAAACTCTTTGTAAAACCGCAGCGTAGGTGTGAGAAATACTGGTCATTAGCTTTAAAACAATCATGCAATCTGCCTCCATGTGGCTACCAGTTATAAAGAAGAGGGGGATTATCTGTCAATGAGGGCATTTGGACCTAAATGTCTTAGAGTTACAGTATTACAGTATTTATGTAATAAAATAAATAAATTTAATACTGTATTATACAGTATTTCTTAGTAATACTGTAACTTATAGTTAATATGTTTTTATTGAAAAAATTACTGTGTTGTATAAATTTTTGGACAACCTGGAATGCATCAATATTCATTTCATAATACAGTACTGTACTGTATAATAGATTAATTTTGCATTGATTTAGTTTATGCCACTTCCTCTGAGAACACATCTGTCGTAAAATCAGAGTAACCTGTACAATGAATATTGATATCAGTGACATTTCTTATTGTGTACAGTACAGTATTTAACTGAGAAAGCAGTATTACTTGTGCAGGTGGCTGAGATGAGTCATACCTAAATCATTTTACAATATTAAATGCTAAGTTAAGTTCAAATGAACTTTCCTAAATTTGCCTGTCAAAGTTCTCAAAAACATTAGAAAGTGAAATGCAACTTTTCAATTTTATTTTAACCTCAGGTTTGAGGGTGGATGGTTCTATACCAGACATGGGCAAATGCGGCTTTTGCTAAGTGTTTTTTGAGTTACATGCGGCTCTTGCTGAAAGTGTTAATTTCTGCTTTTTATTATTATTATTATTACAATTTTATTTCCACAATTTTGTGAAAATATGTTTATTAAAAATTTCAATATTTGTTTTATATTAAATTTATATTATATAATAAAATTGCGGTACAGAATAAAAAAAGTATAGAATTGCGGCTCCCATGCATTTTGCAAAACCTACATTTCGGCTCCCACTGAACTTTTGCTTGCACACCTGTTCTATACTATAGTATAAAAATGTCAAAGCAAATGTGTTTAAGCATTACTAAAAAAATTTATGTATTATAGAAAGTTGATAAAGGCTCAAAAAAGAATGACATCGCAGCAAAGTTTGGAATTTGTGTGAGCAGTTTATCAAACATAATAAAAAAACAAGTCACGAATCAATTTTAAAATTAGTTGATGATTCAAAACCTACAGAAAAACATGCTAAAACTTATGAATCAATGAAAACATGCTAAACCATGTTTTCGGTGAAGTAGATGAAACAGTCTTAATACTCTTAATAAGTATGAAATATATTATGAAGAGAAAACATTTTTTAATTGTTCTATGCAACAAAAAAATTAAAATTTGTTTCTATGAAAATGTAGTTAAACTAACTTTTAGATATTTTAACACATAAATGTAAACTTACTTACTTAAAATTACATTTACATTAATTTAAATTATGTAAAATAACAAAATTACATTAAAAAATTATGTAAAATAATGAAAAAAATTATGTTAAAATAACACTTTATTTATCAAAAAGTGTAATTTCTGTATAACGAAATTTCCCTATAGTGAATTTTTTTCAGGATTTAGTGACTGTTATATAGAAGTTTGACTGTATTTATTTATTGAATCATCTGCAAAAATTAAATATTCCTATAGAAACATGCTT